GTAGTATACACACCTGATTTGACCCAAACCTCAGGAAAGTTCCTTAACCTCACTAATTCGGTTTCCTCATCTATAAAATAATGACAGGCCGGGCACAGTGGCTCACACCTGTAATCCCAGCAATAAGCGAGGCCAAGGCAGGTGGATCACCTGGTCAGGAGTTTGAGACCAGCCTGGCTAACATGGTGAAACACCGTTTCTACTAAAAATACAAAAAATTAGCCCGGCCTGTTGGCACACACCTGTAATCCCAGCTACTCAGGAAGGTAAGGCAGGAGAATTGCCTGAACCCAGAGGCAGAGGTTGCAGTGAGCCGAGATCGTGCCATTGAACTCCAGCTTGGGCAACAAGAGCAAAGCTCCATCTCAAAATAATAATAATAATAACAAATCCCAAATCTCCTGAATAGTATCTGTAAAGCATCAACACAAAGACTGGCACGAGGTATGCACTCAGCTCTGACAATTCTGTTTACTCATAAATCTTTCTTCTTTCTCTCTTTTTTCCCCCTTACATTTCAGGTATCATTTTGCTTTCTGTCTTTGAGCAATTCACTCACAGGAAGTTACTAACAATCTTATTGGTAATAACCCAATATTATTCATTTCCTGGTCCAATCTCTCCCCTTAGCTCTAGGATAAATATGGCCAACTGATCACCAATCCATTTCAACCTTTAAATACCCTGAGAATTGATTATACAATCTTCCGTCCAAATCTGCCCTTCCTCTGTTTACCTATCTTGGTTATCATCCACAGTCACACAAAAACAACTTGGAAGCCAACTAAGCTCTTCCTTCACCCTCTGCATGGCCCTCCATCAAATTTATTGTGAAGTCCTTAGAGATTCTGTTTCTTCTTTCACTTCCATCCCCACTGCCTGTTTATTCCTCACCATGGTGCATGAACTCCTGTCAGAACCTTGTAACTGACTTCCCTATATCCTTTAAACATGTGATATCTTCCTAAAATTCAACTATTAATCTTCCCTTCCAAGGTACCAACGCTGGCCTCATGATAGTATCTAAACTCCTTGGCAAGGAATTGGGATCTGCTCCTGCCTACCAGCTGCTCCTAACTTGGAATTCTGATATTCTAAGAGTGTCAAACCAACTTTAATAACTAGCCACCCTCTACTCAGGCTATTATTTCTGTCTGAGACAGCTTACCCTCCATCCCCTTGACCTGGGAAATTCTCTTAAGAATTACTTCTTTTACAAAACCCTGCCATACCTTTATTAGGACACCTACCACATAAGATTTCACTTCTTGTTTACTGCATTATCTCCTCTACTCAATAATAAACCGCTGCAGAACAGAAACTAACTCTTGTATTACAACCAGGTTGTACATAGTACACGGAAACAGGTAGAATTTGCTAACTACTCAAAGAGTTTGGCAGCCAAGATTAATACAGACAGTATATTTTAAGGGCATGGAATGGGAAATGGTGTCTACAATAAAGACGTGAATTTTAAAAACTAATGTTTTGAAAGGAGTCATTGTTTGCGCTATTGATTATAGAAATATTTTTAATGTTTTCAAAAAGGAGTCATTTTTCTTTAACATTTGGTCTATAGACTTTTGTAGGAAAAAAAGCTTGAGGTTTTAAAAGCTATAGGAAAAAATGTTTCTTGCTTATTTCAAGCAGGACCGGGGGAAGGAAATTAGACTAGTGTGGGGAGAAATGAGAAATGAGAGCTACTTCAACTCAGCACAGTTAACATTAACCAAATTAAAACAACATTAAGCCAAACCAAACTTGTAATAGGTGGAAAACAACTAAATACAAAACTATAAATAAATTATTTTAGTTGAACTGCAACTTTCATACTGAATATGTAACAGCAATGTGCCTGTGACATTAGTATTTCTGGGGCAAAGAGAAAACCTCCCTACCTTGAAAACAAACTCCCTTTTTGGACTAGATGCATTTCCAGATTATTTCCATAATACAGAAAAATCCTAGTTGCAGATTCAATTAAAAAACTGGAGAAACAAAAGACAACAAAAAAAGTCTCAATTTGTAACACTCCAAAATCAAAACTAAGTGTGGACAAGAGAAATCAGGAAGAAAGAAAAATGACATTTTCCAGGTTTCCACAGGACTTTCTGATGTAAAATGGTTGAATCAGAATTGAAAAGACAACCAAGAGTCAAGGGCAGGGTCTTCCCAGAACTGCTTTCATAAGGTAAGGGAAGAGACCAAAGACACTCATTCTTTCCACTAAAAATTTACTTAATGTTTCCCCAGAAACAACAACTGACCCAGGCCTCAGTTTTACTTTATATAGAATGTCTATTTCCCAGTGTCGTGAGGACAACAGCAGCTAGTATTTATCAATCATGTCACTTGCTTAATTATTTACAACTTATTTACAATACGTATTACTACCATTTTACAGATGGAAAAAACTAGATCACAAAGTGACTATAAGATGATGACAGCTTTGAAACCCAAGCATTACTAACTCAGAAACCTCTGAACAGCAAAACTTTGTGCCTCAATCCTTGTGTTCCTTTTCTGCTCAGCCAATTATATTCCTACCATCTCTTAAGAAAAAACGAAAACAACATACTTTTAAAGCAACCTACTATGTGCCTGGCATGGTAAATTGATTAATTTATCCTCATAAGAGCCCTGTGTAGTTGGTTTACACTTTTCCCAGTGAAAAACTTTTATTTTACATGTAAAATGGTTCTTAAATCGCTTCTCTTACATAAATATGTCTGAGTTTGAGCCCTATGAGTCAAGATTTCCCAGGACTTGATAACCACTGTGGGGGGGGGGGGGGGAATTGATCATTCAGGTTCCAGATATACAGCATTAAGAAGACTGTGCAAGGACAGACAGACTTGGGGCCTGCTGTCCACCAGTGATCTAGAATATTCTACCAATTGAACTTCGTATTTCCAACCTCTCACAAAAGCAATACAAAGAGAAAGCAGTAGAGACCTAGTCTGTGGATCTTTCCCACCCTGAATTCATTCACATTGATAATCCAAATCTGTGTTTTACATCATCTAATTAGTAAAACAAAAACCAGCTCTGTATGTAGTATATGAAATCTGCTAGGAAATGGAAATTCTAGCCATAACTTAGCTATGAAATACTAATTAAGAAAAACAACTCAAATAATCTCAGCGTATTTGCAAAGCACGTCATATGCATTTTAAATAACGACCCAGGGAAATAGCTGCCAAAGGAAAGTCAAAGTTATTAAATCCAAAGTTTTTCATTTTCTTGACATGCTCTTTCTATTTACTACAGAAATGTACTAATGTTGGTTGCCTTTTGGTATTGTAATTTGGTCAACCAAAACTTGGGAAAAATAGGTTTATTAGTAACAAAATAATGAAAAGAAAAAAATGAATTTCAACTAGTATCGATTTTTCGGTGTGTGGGGGCAGGGCATTTAAGGGTATTATTTCCTAGTAATGATCACTTAGATTCTAAGCCTTAAACATGATTCAAATGCAGCAGAAATCAGGAAAGAAGCAACAGATACGGTGGTGCATATCGAATGTCTAGACTACAGGCAAAACCCAAATACCAAAGAAGCATCCATGTGTCAAACCAGCATAATTTCTAAGCTATGCCTGGGGCCACATACAAAAAAAAAAAAAAAAAGGTTAGTTTGAAAGAAAAATCTAGGAGGGGTAACCAGAAGGTCAACCCCAGTTCACAGGAACTGGGAAGAAGCTAGCCGTTACCCTGTGACATCTTCCTGAGCAGCTTCCTCCGCAGCCAGCTCCCCAGCCTCCTTACAATGTTTCCAAAAGGCCCAACTCCCTAAACATTTGCTTCTTCAAGGTCATCCTAAGATAAGGCAGTGAATAACCACCAAACACTGAGTCACGGATACCTTTCGGCTAAAAAAGATCCCCCTTCCCAAAATCATTACATAAATACTTTAAATGCCAAGAGGGTTTTCTCCGGAACTCCACCAGAAACTCCCAGACTTTAATTTAGATTGGGCAACTAAATGTGTTCAATTTTGCGCCATAAAATATTAAAAGGCTTTTCAAGTCTGGCAAATTCCAGTTCAAAAACAGGTGCTTTCAGTGTACGCTGAATAACAAGGTCAAATTCATTTTTAAATTATTAAAAGAAAAAGAAAAGCTTTTCTTAACCCTCCTTAGGACAACATAAGGAGGGGGAGAAAGGATTGCTGGGGTAAAACTGTCTCGGATAGGGTCCCTGTTTAACTCAACAGTAATTCCTAATCTTCCGAGTGCCTGAAGTAATGGAAGGTTACAGGAAGAAAATAAAAACAAAGAAACTGACTACGGTCATAGTTACCAGAACAAACTGCACCGCCCTACCACCTCTATAAACCAACTCCCCCCACATCAAAACAAACCTTGCCCCTCCCCGCTCCCCCCACCCCCTAGAAACACACAAAGAAACTGGCCGCACACAGTCCTCACTTCCCTTAGTAGGGCAACTGGGAGCCCCGGAACTTCCCCACGGTGGTTTATCGGGCGTCGTCGGGGCTGGGTCCCCTGGACTTGCGGGCCACAGTTCGGCTGGGGAGAGGTGCTAGCCGCCCTCGACCGTTTCCCCGAAAGCAGTAAAATGCCTCCCCGCTCCTCCCAGGGCCCTCGGGTCCCCACCTTCCGTAAATCGCGCCTCCACCTCGGGCACTCTGGTGACCGCCGAGAGAGACGCCGAGCCAGCAAATAAGAATGCTCCCTGGTGGATTTGTTGATAAATAAGACATCTCGCGTCGGGAGGAAAGTTCCTGCGGGGGCCGCTCGCCAGGGCGAGAGCGAGGGCGAGGGCAGCGGGAGGTGAACCGCGTCGCTCGCCGCCACCTCCCTCACCTGCGCCGGAACAACGGGCCCCGCGCCCGCCCGACCCGGCGCCTCCCGCAGGCCGCGCCTCCCGCACGCCGCGCTGCCGGGGCTTGTTCCTCCTCATGGCTTTGCCCTGACGTAATTCAAACATGGCAACAGTTCGACTTCAAAGGCGAACCCACAGACCTCCCAGACACAGGCTCCCCGGCCACAAGGAACCGGCCGAGAAGTCCGGGCCACGCTCTCCGGACCCCTCGGCCGTCGCAGCCCCCGGTGCCAGGGCTGGAGCGCCGGGCACTGCCGCCTCCCTCGCCCGCCCGCACGCCCCGAGCGGGGAAGCACGCCGCCTCCCTACGCACCAGCATGGCACCTCGCACAAGTAGCGCCGCCAAAGTTTCCCCACGAGGGGGCTGAGGGACAAAAGCCCCTCCCGAAACTCTCCCGAACTTCGAGGGCCTCCGACCCGCACGTCCCTCCGCCCAGGCGGCCGCCCCGAGCGCCGGGGGCCCGCACGGGCACATGCAGCCCTTTGTTTTCTGTCCAGCCGGGCGCTGCCTACGTGCAGCATCAGAGATGTCGGAGCGTTTCGCAGGGGCCGGACACTGGACGATCACCCCGGGTAGGGGTCCGGACCCCGCGCCCGGAAGAGTCCGGAGCCTGGTCCCCCGGCCCTCCCCTTGGGAGCGGGCCCATTTAATCAAAGTTTTGCAGTGTCCTTGATGAGAAACGCCCGGAGTACCCGCCCCGCACGGGCGGAGAGTTGGCGACTTTCACTCTGCTTTTTAAACTGGCAAGACGCCATCATCAGCAAACCACATTGTCCTGCCGGCCGGACCTGCCTGACGGCGGCCGCATCCCACGGCTCACGCGGGGCTGGACATTCGGACAAGGACCAGGGTCGCAGCCCGAAGCACGTGGTCTGTCACGTAGAGCACAAAAAGCAGTGCCCTGCGGAGTTCACTGACTCCTGCGGCGTAGACAACGCCGCCGCCTCCGTCCCCAGCCAAGTTGGCTTCCCTGGCCATCTTACAGCGCGGACGGCCGCCCACAAACGGGAAGCCCTCGCCGTGGCGCCCACACCTACGCTACAGGTGAACGCACGGGGAGCAAAACTTCGGGCTCCGAAGGCACCCCGGACACCAGACGCTCTTGAGCACGGTCCGAAGAGGGCAGGAGAGTGGAAGACGGGCTGTTTTTAAGCGACCGCGTGTTGCTCTCATTGTCGCATCCGCATCCCTCCGGAGTTGAGCAAACAACGCCACGCCGCGTGCGCTCCGGCAGAGCCCAGCACTGACCCCCAAAGGCCGATTTAAAGACCCTCGGCCGCCAGCTTGGAAGCGGACGGCAACTTAGTTTCCGAGCGAATGGCGTTTATTGTCCACCCTAGCCCGGGGGCTGCAGTCAACTAAACCACGAGGTTTCACAACGGCGCCCGACCCTGCCCGCGCCTCGCGCCCACGCGGACGCACCGACCCCGGCCGCTGCGCGGTGGCCAGCCAGTTGCTTTCCTCTCGGGCCTTTCGGCCGCCGGGCTCCTTTCCGCGAGAGAATACTGCGGCGGAGAAAAGTCATTGTCACCTTCAACGTGGATCCCTCAACTCCGGCGACTCCTCAATTATGCCTAGGCTCCACTCACTTCCCCCGCCCCGAGACTTTCGGTTTGCCTCAAATACCCTCCCCAATTAATAAATACACACTAAACAAGCGCGTACCAAAGAACCTGGGGTCTGAAGATCACGAAAACAGCGCTCCCAACAATGCCACCTCCAAGACAAAACTTCCTGTGTGTATGTGGAAGGACGGGGGGAGGTGGGTGGAGGTGAAAAGAGAGAGAAAAAAAACACTCTGAAATCAAAGCCTCATGAGACAGTTTTGCACTAGAGGCTTGGTGAGAGTCACTCACCTTCCAAAAGCAGCCGTTCCACGCGCAATAACGTCCCCGAGGTGCGGAGTGCACGCCAGACCAGTCCCCCTCAAGCGCTCCCTCCTCCTCAACTGCCTTGTCTAGAAAGATTGTCTCCTGCAGTTCTGCAGTTGCTACCGCTGGCCGAGAAGGTGTAGATTCCGCTTTCTCTCTGCGCACGCGCGGCTCCCGGCACAAAATTCTCTTGAATCGAACTTATTTGCATACGGGCGCGCGCACGTCGCGGGCTGGGAGGGGGAGAAGTCCCGGCGACCGCGCGCGCTCCCGAGGCCTCTATTGTCCTTTTAAGGGGAGAAGCTCCGCGGCGCGGGAAACGCGGCGGCCAGAGGGAAACGGGGGCGGGGACTGCTTACTACGGCGGACGTCACATAAACAAACGCCCCCCGGCTGGCGGCCGCGACGGAGAGGGAGTGGCGAGGTGGGAAAGGGAAAGGTTAGCAACCGAGGGGAAGTCTTCGCTGCTTGGCGTGTTTTCCACCCCCGAAGTTCTTGGGGCACCATTGAGCGCCGAAAAATTGTTCTGAAAGCTGCTTTTGCAAAATTCTCACACCTGTGTCCACTTTCGGTGACAGAGGAGGTGGTCTTGTAAGCACCCAGACTGAACTTATACTAATCCCACGTTTCCTAAATTTTGTTTGAAGTTAGGTTTTTGAAACTTTTAAAAAAAAAAAATCCTCTGGGGCCAGCAAAGGTTTAGTTTTTGTGCAGTTGTAATGAGTCATTTAATAAAGTCCCATTTTAACACCCTATCCATTCGCTAACTCCCGCTTGCCCTTCTCAAATAGTAACCCAACCCATAACAATCCAATTTTTTTCTCACTTCGGCCTTAAGATTTCGAGTCTCTCCAAACGGAATGATTGTTTATTTCCGTGGGAACAGTGCCACTTTCTATAAAAGACTAGGCAATGGAAAGCCAATAACCTAGGGACAGGCATACCTCCTCTAGCAGCTTGTAAAGGGTGTTCCACTCACCCAGAAATAATTCCACTAACTGGTGGTCTTGGGAATTGAAAAAATAACAAGTGATGTACAGACTTTTCCATGCAGAATATGTAATAATTCAACAATCAAAGCGCTTTCTAGACTCCGGAAGAAAAAAACTGAAGTAACTCTTCTCAGATTAATAAGAGGAAAATGAAAACCGAACTATTATGATTCGCCTTTATCCCAAGGACACACTTAACACAACAGGCAGAAACCCGGGGTTAATGACAGAGGGTGGGGAGAGAGGAAGGATGTTCTTCCCAGAAACTTGATATTGGTCCCAAGCTACAAAAGTGTGAAAATCAACCATAAAACTTAATCATCTGCTGACAAGTTTCGCTGCTTTCACTGCAGTGTCAACAATACAGATTTAAATAGTTATTTCTGAAATGTTAATTCAACAGGCAATTCCTAGTACATACAGTATAAACCCACTTCCAAACTCAACTAATACTTCTTTTTTTTTCCTTTAGGTTCTGTAACATACTATTCCTGTAACTGTATATGAAAACTATATTAAAAACACCTGAAAAGATAGCCTGGTGTGGTGGCAGGCACCTGTAATCCCAGCTATTCGGGAGACTGAGGCAGGAGAATCGCTTGAACCTGGAGGCGGAGGCTGCAATGAGCAGAGATTGCGCCACTGCACCCCAGCCTGGGCGACAGAGCAAGACTGTCTCAAAACCAAAAACAAAAAAACCAGAAAGAAAAGGGACACTGCTCATTAAATATGAGCTCCTTAAAGACAGGGATTTTATCTCTTTTTTACCCATTTTTGTATTCCAGTGCCTGAAACAGTGCACAGCAGAGGATATATACTGACATCTTGCACGCATTGGTTGGCTAGGAAAAATTTTTTTTAATATAATAAACGGCCGGGCGCAGAGCCTCACACCTGTAATCCCAGCACTTTGGGAGGCCAAGGCAGGCAGATCACATGAGGTCAGGAGTTGGAGACCAGCCTGGCCAACATGTCGAAACCCTGCCTCTGTGAAAAACATAAAAATTAGCCGGGTGTGGTGGCTCACACCTGTAATCCTAGCACTTTGGGAAGCCAAGGCAGTGGAGGTCCAATTTGCCACCAGTGGAACACAGAAACAGCTATTAAGCTTATTCATGTTTATTGTCATAAGGACAGGGATGGCATCATATCAACCAATGTGACCACTATAACTTCCAAACTCATTTTAGGTCAAATGCAAAAATTATAAACTAAAGTTTTGATTAGCAATAAACCTATAATAACCTTGAAAATGTCCATTAATTTCTTTAAATTATATTTATATATTTATTATTATTATTATTATTATTATTATTATTTTGAGACAGAGTTTAGCTCTTGTTGCCCAGGCTAGAGTGCAATGGCTTGATTTCGGCTCACCACAACCTCCGTCTCCTGGGTTCAAGGGATTCTCCTGCCTCAGCCTCCTGAGTAGCTAGGATTACAGGCATGTGCCACCACGCCCAGCTAATTTTGCATTTTTGGTAGAGACGGGGTTTCTTAATGTTGGTCAGGCTGCTCTCGAACTCCCTACCTCAGGTAATTCACCCACCTTGGCCTCCCAAAGTGCTGGGATTACAGGCATGAGCCACTTTGCCTGGCTATTATTATTATTATTATTATTATTATTAATTTTTTTTTTTTTTGAGACGGGATCTTGCTCAGTCGTCCAGGCTGGAGTGCAGTGCTGCGATCTTGGCTCACTCCAAGCTCTGCCTCCTGGATTCACGCCATTCTCCTGCTTCAGCCTCGCCAGTAGCTGGAATTACAGGTCTGCACCAAATATTTAAAAAATTAAATAATTATTTAATATTTATACTATTATAATTATAATAAATATATTTAAAAAATTTTAAAATATAATAAACAGCCAGGCGCAGAGCCTCACACCTGTAATCCCAGCACTTTGGGAGGCCAAGGTAGGCAGATCACCTGAGGTCAGGAGTTCAAGACAAGGCTGGCCAACATAGTGAAACCCTATCTCTACTAAAAATACAGAAATTAGCGGGGAGTGGTGGCACTCACCTGTACTCGCTGCTACTCAGGAGGCTGAGGTGTGGTGGCACATGCCTCTAATCCTAGCTACTCAGGAGGCTGAGGCAGGAGAATCGCCTGAACCCGAGAGGCAGAGGTTGCAGTGAGCTGAGATCATGCCACTGCACTCCAGACTGGGCATAGAGCCAGACTCCATATAAAAAAAAAAGTGTGTGTGTGTGTATACATATATGTACACACATATATACACATATATATGTATATATATGTGTATATATATATAAAAATATATAAATTAGCTGGGCATTTTGGCGCAGACCTGTAATTCCAGCTACTCGGGAGACTGAAGCAGGAGAATGGCGTGAACCCGGGAGGCGGAGCTTGGAGTGAGCCGAGATCGCCCCACTGCACTCTAGCCTGGGCGACTGAGCAAGATTCCATCTCAAAAAATAAAAAATAAAATAATAATAATAATAATAATAATAATAATAGCCAGGCAAAGTGGCTCACGCCTGTAATCCCAGCACTTTGGGAGGCCAAGGTGGGTGAATTACCTGAGGTAGGGAGTTCGAAACTAGCCTGCCCAACATGAAGAAACCCTGTCTCTACCAAAAATGCAAAATTAGCTGGGCGTGGTGGCACATGCTTGTAACCCTAGCTACTCAGGAGGCTGAGGCAGGAGAATCCCTTGAATCCAGGAGACGGAGGTTGTGGTGAGCCGAAATCAAGCCATTGCACTCTAGCCTGGGCAACAAGAGCTAAACTCTGTCTCAAAATAATAATAATAATAAATATGTAAATATAATTTTAAAAAATTAATGGACATTTTCAAGGTTATTATAGGTTTATCCCTAATCAAAACTTTAGTTTACAATTTTTGCATTTGACCTAAAATGAGTTTGGAAGTTACAGTGGTCACATTGGTTGATATGATGTCATCCCTGTCCTTATGACAATAAACATGAATAAGCTTAATAGCTGTTTCTGTGTTCCACTGGTGGCAAATTGGACCCTAATCATAAATTTCTGCCTTCTTTCTAAAGAGAATTTCAACAGTTGTCCTGGGTTGTCTCAAATATTTATTTGACTTATGACAGATCCTCCAAAAATAATTTCAAATTATATATGCCTCTGAAGGTATGAAAACTGCAAATACCGGCTGGCGTGGTGGCTCATGCCTGTAATCCCAGCACTTTGGGAGGACGAGGCGGGTGGATCAGAAGGTCAGGAGTTCAAGACCAGTCTGGCCAGCATGGTGAAACCCCATCTCTACTAAAAATACAAAAAATTAGCCGGGCATGGTGGCACGCACCTGTAGTCCTAGCTACTTGGGAGTCTGAGGCAGGAGAATCACTTGAACCCAGGAGTTGGAGGTTGCAGTAAGCTGAAATCACACCACTGCACTCCAACCTGGGTGACAGAGCAAGACTCCATCGAAAGAAAGAGAGAGAGAGAGAGAGAGAGAGAGAGAGAGAGACAGAGAGAAAGAAGAGAAAATTGCAAATACCATATATTTTTTAAACTCCAATTATGGTTTACAGGAGTATATATACACATATATATAAGTGTGTACACACACATATACCTTGAATGCTTTTTCTCTTGAAAGTTTATGTAAAGAATATTTATTGTAATACAGGGATGGAATAATAAACTCAAATGTGCAAGCAATGCAGGAATTACAGTACTTAGGATATACTGTTCAGGTAAGAAATTACCTAGAAGTTGCAGAGCTACTGAGTTAATGTAGCTAGATTTCCTCTGCTCTCAAAGTATAGGTCAAGAAGTAATCTGGATAAGTTTTATAGGAAGGGTAGCTACAAAATTATTTTTTTAATTTTTTCATTACTTTTTAATTTTTCTTTGATAATCCTATTGCAATAAACAAAATTCTTAAAGAAAAATCTGAATTCCATAGTCTTTTTTTTAAAGCAACCACCTGCTATTTTTGAATAACCAAGTGCATTCCAAAGCTTCTTTTGTCCATTTTGTTGCTTGAACATGTCATTATGGATGGCCATACCTAGGCCCAATAGCCCATATATGGGCTACTTTTAAATACTACTACCTAAATTGCCCAAGTGAGGTTTTCAATGTGAAAAAGGAAAGAAAGAAGTAATTTATAATACATCAATTTGTATTACAAGAGACTGAACTACATCATGCTAGGAAAATATCTGCAGGTTTTTTTGGTTTGATTTGGTTTGGCTTGGTTTGGCTTTGTTTGTTTGCTTGTTTGAGACGGAGTTTCGCTCTTGTTGCCCAGGCTAGAGTGAAATGGAGCAATCACGGCTCACCACAACCTCCACTTCCCGGGTTCAAGTGATTCTCAGCCTTCCGAGTAGCTGGGATTACAGGCACGAGCCACCATGCCCGGCTAATATTGTATTTTTAGTA